CCAAACTTGAGTTCAAACTTAAAAAAATATGAACTTGAATAAAGTTAGAACTCGAGTTGTCTTTTTTTGAGTTTTTTGGACAGCCGAACACACCTTAAATCTTCAACTCTTTTAAAACTCCTTTTTGCCTCCAATGTTAGTTTTTCCTATAGTTGATACTTTTTTTTTTGCATCAATTTTTCACCCGCTGAATTCTAGAGTTGTCATTAAAACTACATTTTCCATTGTAAAGAAAAAAAAAAAAAAAAAAAAAAAAAAAAAAAAAAAAAAAAAACACGAAATTACACGATTGATAAACCAAAAGAAGTATCACAAGTCCTTAAAAAAAAAAAAGGAAAAAGGAAAAAGAAGTGTCACAACTAGATTGCGATATGAGTACTGGACCAAACTCGTCACAATTAATTGACTATAAAATAAGACCTAAGTAAACATACATATTTATCATAATGAAAATACTAACAAAAGAAAAGAAAAAAAAATAAAAAGAAAACATATTTCAACACATTATTTTGGTAAGTGTTGCTTTTGGTAGGAGAAGAGAAGTTATTTGGCCTTGTCATTTTAATAAGACTTTCTTAATTTTTGTATTAATTACTTGATTTTGATCAATTAGTTTGATTTAATATTTAAATAATGAATTATGATAGGCGTTTCTTAATTTTCAAAAAAAAAAAAGAAAAAAGATATCGCGAATATGTACATTATAAAATGGTTGCGATAAATGAAGAGTTTTTTAACACATAGTAAACATTGTGTGGGAAAGCTGAGATTATAGGAAGATATATAATTACACAAGATTAATACATGCAGTATAAGCTAGTTAGCGAAAGAAATTATTGCGTATGGGAAATGACAAATTGGATTATATATATAGAAGCTCAACAACTAAATTTTAGTTTTCTCTGGATTAATCATTATAGCTAGCTAATATACTTTCACTAATTAGCAGGAAAGCTAAAAATATGGGACTCTTTTCTCTAATAAATTATAAATAAAAATTAATAATTTGCTAGCTGTCCAGGCGAAGTACAGAAGAACTTGTTCACATTGCATAAGCAATTAATTATCTACCATAAAGTTAGTCCAATTCTTCGAATTAATGGTTATGTTGACTTTGTATTCTAAGATTTCCACGTATGTGTGCTGAGAGATTAGCCGTTCAGTTCGTTGATTCGAGTTTTTAATTCGAGTTGAGAATTGACTTTATGTGAGCTTTTTATTATAGAAAAAAAAGTTAAATGTGACTGATTCTGATAACTTTTTATTGTAACAAAACTTAAATTTTAAATTCGAATCGGTGAAATAAACTGGACCTAACTAAACAGCAAGAATTAAATGGCAAAATTCAAAGATAAAAAAATCTCACAGCATAAGAAAAGAATAGTACGGATAGTCGGCTCTAATCTTTCAAAAAAAGGTGCATTCTTTACTACTTGACAAAACTACTCAAAAACTTTTTTTTTTTGTTTTTTGAAAAAAGAAAAAACTTACATATATCTCACTTGATACTTTTGACTAGTGTTCTCAAAAGCAATAATCTTTGATCATAGCATTTTCTTTTTTTCTCCTTTGAATTAGTACTGATTTTGTCTGGGAGAATATACTTTTTTTCTTTCCAATGTTATAATACATTATCAAAATGTCTTGGTTATTATATATACAGATGTCAATAAATATTTGCATACGATAGGTGAATATACGTATAGAAATAGAATAAACAATGAAACTCTGGACCCATTTAGTTCTCTAATTCGAATTGAGATGTGACTTTATGTGAGAGTTTTTTACTACAGTAAAAAAGTTAGATGTGACTGTTTGTGAGAGTTTTTTACTGTAGCAAAACTCGAATTCTAAACTCGAATCAGCGAAATGAACGGGGTCTCTAACATCGGACCGCGTTTAAAACCTATGTATATATATATATATATATAATTCCAAGTGTTGAACAAAATCCTACTTTTCAATATATTTTCTTTATATTATATAGATCGCCCTTTTGAAAGGAATCTTCATTTGGAGAAACTTTTCAATATTACCTTTTGCTCCTTTAATTTTTCTTTTTTTCTTTGGAGACACCTAACTCTTGCGCCGTATGTTTTAACGTAGAAAACCCTAGTTCTCACCCTCCTTAAGAATTTTCTCAATACGACAATCGCATGCATTGAGAAATCGTCTACTGTTGGATGGATTTAGATTATTCCAAGTAGTCCCAAGTCCAAAGTCCAAACCCACACGAGTTTGGCCTACCGAGAAAAAGTTAAAAAGTTAAATTACGTACACGTGAGATTAATACTAAACTAACCCACGTGATCCTTGCAACGGCAAAAAGTGTACAGGTGCGTGAAACCATCTAGTTTGATCAAAAAGCTTAAAACACAATTGGTCAAATTTTGGCCGACAGTTTTCTACGATTCTTAAACATGTTCAAAGTTTGATTTGAAGTTTCTTGCAAAGTAAAACTCTAGCTAGTCAAGGTAAGGAAAATAAGCTATGCATATATATATATATATATATGCACATATATATATGAATAACGTTAGAGATATTAATTTTAATTTCAATTGTTTTTATTAATTTGTGCGGAATAGTTATATTTTTATTGATAGTTATTAAAAAATTATCACGTCAATTAATAATAGGTTATTACATCTATCAGTAAACAGATGGTAACTCTATATATGCCATGTAATTATTAACACTCTAGAATAGTTGAAATTAGAGTTAGTATTACTAACACTCTATATAAATATATATATATATATATATTTAGATATATAGAGAGAGAGAGGGTCTTACGTGGAGATATGTACGTGCAATTAAAACATTAGTTGCCTTTTCTTTTTCTTCCCGAACAGTTTAGAACAATTTTCAAAAGATATTACATAGAATTCAAGACGATAAAGTGAAAGAACGTCACGAGATGTTGAGATAAGCCTCTAATTACCATACATTTAGCAAGTCAATTAATAAGAGGTATGCTAGTAGATTTTCTTTCTTTTTGTGGAACGGCTTAATCCTATATCATAAAACCTAATAAGAAGACTAATTGGATGGATATTCAAAGGTGATTGCGACACCATATAACAGAACTTACGACGTAACAATTTTGACTAATTGCGGAAGACAAAACAATTTCTTATCTACGAAAAAATAGTTAATTTGCTGGGGACAGTGGATGAATTAGTGGGTAATTAAACATGTAATTATCAAACGATCTAATCATGATCATGAAGCAAACTAATGCGCCGATGTTTAGTGTTTGGTTAAAAAAGAAAGTTATGAAGAGGAAATTCATTAATTTGGCGTAACTTTTCTTAAAGAAAAAGAAAACCCCATCTTCCAGAAACTAAAGAAATGGAAAATTCAACAAATACTTATCAATGGCCAACCATTAAAAAAAGTTTTAATGTAGTTTTCAGATATTAAAATTTTATATTTTATGTTCTGAACCTTTTCTAAAAAATTAAGATCAAAAGAGTGGACTTTGAACTAATAGCGACGTTTCAAGAAATTTTCAGGAATAATTAAATCGGGGAATATTCCAGATTCCATTTTAAAAAAATACAATATTAACATGTAAGTTAATTAATATTTCCCCCAAAGGTTGGACTAATAAGCAAACGAAACACAAAAACAAAAGGGTGTCTACCTATTCCGCTGATTATATTTCCATTTTCTACAGTCATAAGAGAATTACGAAAGGAGGTATAATTATCAGGAAAAGGAAAACAACATAGAAAATGCAAAATCTAACAAAAATAATAATGATATTAATTAACATATTCCAACTCATTATTTTTTTTATTAGAAAAATTAGGTATATTGACGTGCTTTTCTACTATATTTATATTTTATGTGACGTAAAATATTAGTTTATGCTACTTAATAATTAATATTATTTTTAACTGATTTAGTTAAGACGTTTTTTTTTTTTTTTACTATTCCTCTTCGATAGCCTAAATGCTAGTACTATTTTGAATGAATTTTTTATTTTCTCATAGAAGAAGAATTCTGTGATATCATAAGGAAAAATCTCTATGGATGTAGGTTTTTGCTTTTTTTAGTCAAATTCCGCTAATTCTTTTGGAGTAAAACTAAAACCTTCAAAAAAAATTAATAATACCACCGTAAAATATCAGCTACCTTTAATTAAAAAAAAAAAAAAGCTAAAAAATGACTAGAAGAAAAAGAAATAGAGGTGCTTTAATATAATTAAAGAAAGAAAGTCTATAAAGAAGTAAGTTGGTCCAATTGGGGTGTAAAGAGTCAACAAGGTTCCCGGTGCAGATCTGAAAACGTGGCGAGAAGAGTGGGGCCCACAGAGAACTAGGCCACAGCCCCACCCGGTCGTCGGTCATGAGTCCCAGAGAGAGAGAGAGAGAGAGAGAGAGAGAGAGAGAGAGAGAGAGAAAGAGCCGGGCCGTCAAATTTGTTGACTCCTTCCCTTCTCTCTCTCTCTATCTCAAGGCCTTTCTTTCTCTTACTTTCTTTTTTTTTTTTTTTTTTTTTTAATTTCGTCACGTGGAAGGCGCCGCACAATTCGGGGCGGTGGATTCATTTTTTCTTTCCTTCTTTCTTTCTTTTCTTTTCCCTCCTGATTTGATTTACGAACCAGTCAAACTCTTCCTTGACGAAATGCAGACGAAACCCAACCCCCCGCTCCTGGGCCCCACCCCATGTCCAAACTCCGGGTCGGGTCACCCGAATAGTCAAAAGAAGTATAATGACAGGCAGAGCAAAATAGTTTCGGAGCAACAAAATTGGATTGTGGGTGAAAACACCGGATTCACATTGCCAGCTGGCAAACTGACGCACCGTCTGACGCAACTTTGATCAAATCCCATCACTTTCATCAAGAGAGAAATTAATTAACATTCAATATTCAATATTTTTGGTCTTCTAGTAAAAAAAGAAAAAAAGAAAAAAGAATAATTTTGGTCTACGTTCCAAACCCTTTTTATAGCCGACCCAAATGCACCGGTAAAAGACTTCACAGACTTCACCACGCAAATATCCCCTTCTGGCCTTCTCGCTTCTTTAGTTCTTATCCCTCCTTTCTCTTTCTCTCTCTAACTTGTGCCCATTTCTTCTCCTTTCTCGCTCTAGCGATCAGATTTTCTCTCTCTTTCTCTTGGTTTTATGGACAAAGGATGGGGTATCGCCCTGGATTCTGACTCTCTGGGTTTCTTCCTCAACAAGCCTCCGCCTTCCAAGTTCGATCACGCCGCCAAGAGAAGCATCATGTTTGCCGGTATGGAGTTTCCGGCGTCTAAGCTGGCCTGCCGGGATGAGCAGGCCGCGCACCAGCCGTCTGATGAGAATCGGACGGCCGTCGGCGTTGTGGACTTCTTTTCTGATAAGAAGAGGCTGGTCAACGATGATGATGATGATGATGATTGTGATGATCATTCCAAGACGATTAGTACTTCCGTTATTGTTAAGAAGGAGAATTCTCAGGGCGATGCCACTACTCGGCCCTCTTTGGATGTAAATGTGAGTTTATTATTATTATTATTATTATTATTATTATTATTATTATTATTATTATTATCCTATTTTGATCACTGTTAATTTCGGCAAATATTTTTATTTTTCTTTTGTTAATTCTTTTCGTTTTTTTTTTTTTTGGGAATGGAATATAGACTGGTTTGCACCTTCTTACTGCAAACACTGGAAGTGATCAATCAACGGTGGATGATGGGGTTTCATCCGATCATGTGGAAGAAAAACGAGCTAAGACTGTGGTAATATTCATGAAAAAATGAAAAATACCCTTTTATATAATTATTTTTAAAAAAAATAATTTCAGCTAAATATTTTTATTATTTTCAGATGGCGCAGTTGCAAGTGGAGCTTCAACGTATGAACGCTGAAAATCAGAAGTTGAGAGACATGCTTAGCCAAGTGAGTCACAATTATAGTGCTCTTCAGATGCACCTAATGGCAGTAATGCAACAGCAACAGATGACCAATAACCGACCCGAAAGTACCCAAGAGCAAGAGGTAATTATAATTAACTAATTAGTCAAAACCATAATATTTGTTGTATATAATTGCCGTCCAAAGACCTCAATTATGTAAGCACCCAATTGAATCATCTAAGAAATGGGTAATAAATTAATGATTCAGAATGTTGATCAAGTCGGAAAAGTAGCTGAACAAGAGAGGAAACAAGAGAGGCAGTTTTTGGATTTGGGACCAAGTGCTGATAATCAGACAGAGATTGATAGGGTCTCAAACGACTCGTCGTCGGAAGAAAGAACCCGTTCTGCGACACCCCAGAACAACGTTAACGAATTGTCACACAGAAAGAAAGACATAGTTGCATATAACAATAATGATCAAGACGAGGGCTCTAACCTCCGAGATGGCAAAAGGGTTGGCAGAGAAGAAAGCCCGGAATCCGAGTCCCAAGGTTGGGGTCCCAACAAGGTCCCCAAGTTGAACAACGGCTCAAAGCCAATTGAGCAATCCGCTGATGCCACCATGAGAAAAGCCCGCGTCTCGGTCCGAGCCCGATCAGAAGCGCCCATGGTATATATCACACATCTATTCCTTTTCATTCTCAATCAAACTTAGTTGAACTATCAAAAGAAAAGTATCTAAATTAAATTATGTTTGATATCATGATGTTAATACAGATAACTGATGGATGCCAATGGCGAAAGTACGGGCAAAAGATGGCTAAAGGAAACCCATGTCCTCGTGCGTATTATCGGTGCACAATGGCCGTTGGTTGTCCAGTTCGCAAACAAGTACGTTACACTAAACTTACACTAATATGATGTGTCTAATACGGAGCTATCCAGAGTTAATTTAACCTTATAGCTAATGAGTTTGAATTGTTTAATGTTATCAGGTCCAACGTTGTGCTGAAGACCGAACCATATTGATCACAACATATGAGGGAAACCACAACCACCCGCTGCCTCCAGCGGCGATGGCGATGGCATCGACGACCGCAGCGGCGGCAAACATGTTGTTGTCCGGCTCGATGTCCAGCGGCGACGGGCTGATGAACCCGAATTTGCTAGCCAGGGCCATACTTCCGAACTCATCAAGCGTGGCCACGATTTCGGCTTCGGCTCCATTCCCGACCGTGACATTGGACCTCACTAACAACCCCAACCCGCTTCAGTTCCAGCGGCCACAGACCCCATTCCAAGTCCCTTTCGCCGGAGGGCAGGCCCAGAACTTTGGGGCAGTAGTACCACCTCCTAGTAGTGGTGCCCAAGCTCATTCAATATTGCCTCAAGTATTTGGACATGCTCTTTATAATCAGTCCAAGTTTTCTGGCCTTCAATTATCAACTGGACAAGACATGGGCTCTAATTCCCAATTAGGCCACCAAGTGGCAGCCGTACAATTGCACCAAACTCAGCAAGCCAATTTGGCTGATTCCGTTAGCGCCGCGACGGCTGCGATCACCGCCGACCCGAACTTCACGGCGGCACTTGCGGCGGCTATCTCCTCCATCATCGGCGGAGCTCATCCGAATAACGCCGCCTCCGCCGCCAACACCAATAACTATTCAAACAACAGCAGCAAAATTGGAGGCTTCCCGGGGAATTAGCTTAGAGAAATGGGATTTACTGTTATCTGTTAATTAATTTGTTCTTACTGTCAATTAATTGTTCTTTTGTTTTTTTTTTTTTTTTAAAGTTTGGTTCTTTTTGGGGTGGAGAGTGATATACATACGCAGGATAACATGTCCATAGTTTTTGTTGTTGTGGGGAGAGGAAAAGGGCTAGATGACGAGTCAACAGCATTCTTTTCTTTTCTTATTGTTTCATTTTGAATATTTTTGTTCAAAATTTTCAGTACATACACAGAAAGAGAGAAGAAAGATCAGATATGTTAGTTTTACGTAATTTACTCTTCCAATATTGGCTTGTTTTGTGTATCTTTTCTTCTTATCGGTTTTCCTATTTCCATTAATCTAATCTCCTGATAATCTGAACAGGAAAGGGTCATTGTCTACAAGTAAACACCCTAAATTAAATATACAAGAAAAAAAAAATAGAAATATGATGTGCCGTGGTCTATTATTGAATAGTCAAGCGGTCAAGAAATTCGGCCATTTCATTTTGACACGTAAACGGCGCGTTATGAATGGAACCCAAAATGGTAGACTTTGAGGAGACTTCCAGGCAACTACGTTTTCCATATTAATGAACAATCAATTATTTATGGGGTCAAATTCAAACAAAGCATCAAGAAAGAGGAGAATTCCAGGGTACACAAGAAAACAATTATTTAAAATATTTAAATTTTATTAAATTTCCGCATGAAAGTGGATTATCTGTAGTCATTTACTTTTCAATCGTCATATCTGTCTTTTTTACATATTTTTTTAATGTGATTTGATTTTCACTAAATCTAACAGTCAAAAAGTTAAAACTATCAGTTGAACGAACTACCGAAAAAACTCTCTATGTAGTTATGTATTTCAGAATTAATATAGTAAATTGTGATCTATTAAAAGGAGCTTTCGTCTCACCGATAGTAACATGTTTTGAGATTATGTTACGGTGAAAAAATATACAAAATTGATAGAATATAGTACAAATGCAATGGTTTTAAATAGAACTTTATCAGATGAAGTATTTTCTTATACACTGTCTTCACTATTAAAAAGTATGAAGATAAACATTAATTATAATTTATGGAGATTTTTACAGTTAAATCTAGAAAAATAAATGATTAATAAGTCTTCATTCGTTAAATCTGTATTAAAAATTATTTATTTTGTATATTTTTTATTTTGGTGTGATTTAACTAAATTTAATGTCGGTTAAAATGTTTTTACCGTTAGAGGCACTACATGGAAAAATCCATAATATATATCTATATACGGTGTTTCTCATAATGCTCAAACAGTAAGGAAAATAATATTAAAGGCATTAAATTTGTTGTGATTTTCGTGAATGGTGGGAGGAGGGTGGAGGCTAATTTTCAATTGGACGACTGCGATACGTTGTTGACTTTCCGTGCAACCTTGATTGACAAGACGTCGCCTCATTGGAATCTGATCCAATCATGTGTTCCACTTCTCACATAAAATACTGTGGTAACCCAAACGTGGAACATTGTGGGCTGCACCGTACCTCATCCACCGTACTAAGATCTTTTACTCTTTAATGACTCTTCTATTATCAACACCTCTCTCTCTCTCTCTCTCTCTCTCTTTCTTTTTTTTTTTTTTTTTTTTTTTTTTTTTTTTTTTGTCGTTGGATAACAAGTCTTTTATGATACCACATGCTTGCATGTGGCCAAAGAGTCCTCACTTTCGTCTTTATTTTTTTTTTCCCAAAAAAAATCATTCTCTTTGTGTATTATTTTCAATTTTCAGCAGAAATTATTGAACTATTATATTTATATAAATACATGTGTAACTATCTGCATGCAAGTTGTGATGTTAATTGTAACCCTTTTTCAATGGGGTTGCAGAAATTAAATTACTTTGACAAGTGAGTTTGCCGTGTATGGTTTAAATTTTATAGTTGTCATATCTTTTAAGTTTCTAGGAAAAGAAACAAGAAGTTATTGTTTTTGCAGGGATAAGATTTAAGCCGTATTCGAAGCTTAAGGTGGATATTTATTTGTCTTCTTTCTCTAATAAATTAAAAATACTAGTATAAGGGATCTAGAAGGAAGCTGGTTAGGTTTATCATTTATGGATTTTTATTGAAATGATGTCACACTAGGCCTACAAAAAAAACCCTCCACTTGTCAAAAAATTGTCTCACACTTTATCAAACTTCAAAAGTACACAAACACGGTTTTCCTTAGCATTGGGATACATAATTGACCATAGTGTTCTTGTTTTTTTAGCAAAGTAATCTTTTCTACAGAGATAAAGAATTAGGGTCAAGTTATGGAGCAAAGAAAACGACTGATTAAAATTGATTGCACTTGAGGACAAATGAACGATGGCTTTGGTGCCATATATATACACAGACACATATGTATATATATATATAGATATAGGTGTAATATATTAGACAAACCATGATGAAGACAAATGAGCCATTTTCGATCGAGTGTTTGGTAACTAGTAATATGTCACATATCAATAGATATGGCCCATTCCAATGTCATTAGTTTTTTACTCTCTGGACCTTGATTTTAAGTAGTATGGAGATATTTTGGTGCTCGAAATTAATGCATATATATATTAATCCAATACAACTTTAATAGGAGATAAAAGAACCCGTTCAGTTCGCTGATTCGAGTTAAAATGTGACTTTATGTAAGAGCTTTTTACTGTAGTAAAAAAGTTAGATGTGATTGTTTGTGAGAGCCTTTTACTGTAGAAAAACTCAAATTTTAAACTCGAATCAGCGAAGTGAACGGGGCCGAAATCAGTCACCCAAGTTGTCTTATACAAGTCAATGGTTATACTCCCCAAAAATTGTGACGAATAAAAGGTTCCACTACTCTTGCTTCTCTTTGTTAAAAACTGATTCTGTGTGCAATTAATACATATTACAATAAGAGCTGATATGGCTAGAGGATTTTTATTGGTGAATTCCCTTTAAAAAAGAGGGCTATACCTTATAATTTACATTTTATGTATAGGATTTGGCTTACAGTTTTGGCATCTACAAAACCAAGGACCTTCATTGGGATTGTAGCATTTTGGGAGTTCTTTGCTCTTGAGGTATAGTTATGAGAAAATTGATGACTCACTTTTTGAATGCATTTTAACTTTTAATTAATACTTTTTTTAATTAATATAGTTTTTTTTTATTAAAGGGTATTAATCAAATGCAAAACATAAAAATTTAAGACTCGTGTATTTTAAGGGGTATTTGTAATTATTCGCTGTTTGCTTCAAGACTCATTTACACATAAAATATAAAAGCTTGGTCGTTTAGTATATTAATTGACCACTTTTGGGATTTGTTACAATAAAGTAATGGGATTCCGTTGGATTCCATTCCACTAATAAATTGATTACATGTGATCCTGTCATTTGTTACTGTTACAATTGTGTGGAGCAAAGCAAAATCCACATGTTATGCGACTTATTTGATACACCCGTGATTTTTTCCACCTAAAACTCACCCATAAATTTGTTTGATGTAGAACTTTATATATAAAAAAAAAGTCACACTACATGGAATATATATTTGTAAGTTTTGGATAACAGAGTGGCTGAGTAGATTATCTTCAACATAAAATCCAGGCCCAGTCTTAAATTTCAAATTCCTGTGGACAAATGGGATAAATGAGTTTACATTCATTTGGGCCTTCCTTTGATGTCTTCAAACAATTTAACTTGCCGTAACCTATACACATTGGGTTGGGTTTGGAAAAATTTATACTGGTTGAACTTTTTAGAAAGGGGGAAAGAGAGAAATAGGCTAAGACTTAAAATGAATTAAAATTAATAGGCTAATAGTTTACATAAGTTAATTAATAGGCCAAATTACTATTTTTATCCATAACTTATCTGGTTATGAACCATAACTTGACAAGTTATTCATGGTTTTTGTCCATAATTTGTCTGGCTATGAACCATAACTTGACAAGTTTATTCATAACTTATCTGGTTATGAACCATAACTTGACAAGTTATGACCTATTAATTTCTATAATTAAAAATTGGTCTATATACTTTCTTAAGGTTTTCATATTGGCCTATTTTCTACTATTTTCCTTTTAAAAACATTACGTCTCCTCAATTGGAATTTTTAGTTCTAAATTTTTACAGTTAAAAATTCTTAAAAAATATCACATTTTAACATGAATTAAAAACTCGAATCCACAAAAGAATGAGGCCTACAATTACTGTTTGAGAAAAGGAGACAAATGCTCCTTAGATGGATCTTAAATTTTTAGTCTTTACACTTAATTAATATCTTTTAGTTAAAAAATTATATTAGTCAAAAGAATATTAATTAAGAGTAAAAAGTAAAAATTTTAAAACAATACATACAAAGGATGAGTTCACCAATTTTCTATTACGGTTTTTTAAGAAACAAATGGCTCGTTTTGTTCATAGATATGAACAAAAAAGTTTAAATAGAAATTTAAATTTGTAAAATAAAATATTGTAGCAAAAAATATTTGAATATTAATTCGAATCCATAAAACAAACGAGCTTAAAAATCTCAAATTTTCTTTTTTTTTTTGGCAAATGGAGGGCGATGTTGTCATCGATCTACGTGTTTTCTGTCTTCTCAGATTGTCATTGAAATAACTTTCGATGAGGAGCTCACAGCAGATGCCTCCATGGATCTAGTCGACAAGCTCGAGAGAGCCCATCGTGGTTCTTGATTGAGAGCTTGGAATGGCTCATGGTTGTAGTTCACGATGAAACTCGCATCAATGAGGTTTTGACCTTCATTAGTGATGACAACCTCTGAGATTCTTTGGCAACGGTGACTTTTGACCTCAGCGAAGGATGGCGACCGCCTAACCGTAAAGGGTAAAATAAATTCAAATCTCACACGATTAATAAATACTAACTTATAAGGATATTAAATCACTCTACTATTAGTCCTTTTAAAATAGAAATTTCAAAGAGTAAAGTCCAATTTTCATATAGTATCAAAATTCAACAAGTACAAACGAGCGACTCGATCCATTTAATATAAGATTGGTAGCTTTTAAGAAAGCACAGTCTTATAAAGATGTGTGAAGAATAAAATAAACCTAAATTTCATATTATTTAAATATGACAATATAAACTAATTTATAAAGATATTAAATCACTCTACTTAACCGTTAAAAGATGAAGAAAGTCCAATTTGCACACTAACTTTTCTCCTTACGTATGTAATATCTTAAAAAAGATTGTGTGAATTTAGCCATTAATTTCTATCACAAAATACCTCCTTCTCCCCGAGCTATATTGCAACTTTAAGGAAAGAAAAAAAAGAATGCCATTCTATTTGTTGCATATTCCACTTTAAAGAAAAACTTAGGAAAGAATCTCAGAAAGAGGTAGAGAGGATAATCTGATATTTGTGCGTTGTGACCAACCGAAAAGAGATATGCTTGTAAATGGCGTCAAATGTCAATTGTCACGCACTTTGGGCCTCTCACTGTCAGAAGGGGTCAGAAGGGGTCATCACTAAGCAGAAACTTTGAAGCTTTCTTTTGCTTGTATTGAGGACCATTTTTCTTTTCTTGCACAGGACAACTTGCTCTTTCGGTTGGGGCCACTTTTGTACTTCCTTTCGCAACAATATTCATACATATTTGACGGTCTTTTCTTTCTCATGGACAACGCCCTTCTTCTCATTTGTCCGATGCCTCCCCCCACTCATTCATTTTTTGTCTTTCTACCAGCAAAAGCAAGTCCCAAACCCATCTATGTTTTTTTTTTTTTTTTTTCAAAGCCATTATCCCAAGTTTATCTGAATTGTTAGATGATTATGAGATTTATATTCAATTAAGCAAAAGTTTCCAATATGTTAATGTATTATTTAATCTCCAACTTTTAGAAACATTCAAAACGTCAACATTATAAGCAGCACAAAGCCGGTATAAAACGACAATAATTTCACATCACATTGATCTACTCTGTACCACTATACACGCCAAATACTTTATCATACTATTATTTATGTATATAGGTTTATGTATATATATATATATATATATCGTATAACTCTCAATGAACTCCGAAACTTGGCTGAGTGGGAAACGCATGGAAGGAGGTGTGTGTGGAGTGGCAAAGCGATACACACGCCAACTTGACACGCAAGCATTCGGTAGTAACGCCCCAACACTTTAATCCCATGTCGTTTTCCCACCAAAAATAGAACTATATATCCAAAATAAAATACGCCTTCACGCCTCTCATCATCGTCCATCACGAGATTAACGGTGTGAAATCACTTGATCCGAAAACGTGACCATCGTGGCTCTCAGCGGGAACGAGTTTGAAGCTAATCCGCAACATCGACGGTTAAAAGCTTATCCCATAATCGACTTTTGACGGTCTAGATCGAAAGTTCAACCTCAAATACTTTCTAAGCTGGGCCCTGCTGGGACAGGTAGTTATCCAGTCTCTCTCTCTCTCTTCCTAGTTTAAATACCCAGTCGTCTTCTTCTTCTCCTCGCCAACTTTCCTTTCGTTCTTCATTTGCGAGAAACCGGTGAGTTAATAATGCCTTTATTTCTTTCTCCGATAATGTGATTTGGATCTTACTTTGGTTAATTTCGATTTTTCTTTCGTGTATTAATGTTGATTCTTTTCTGGAAAATAATTGTCGTTTTGAATCAGAACTGGCGCTTGATGCATGTATTTATTTGAGTTTTTTGTTATTCTTAAACTCAGTTATCAAACTAAGAAGTAATTTTCCAGTGTTTTTCGAGTGGATGAGGTTTTATTTTCCATGCAGCTTTGATTGTTTGGCGAAAAAGCGGCGGAGATGCTATTTTTTTTTTAATAAAAATTATTGCTTTACGTTATCTGATATACAAACATTCTTTTTCTTTAAAATTGTAGCTCAAACGAATCGTTTGATTTCAGATGTATAGCACTATAGAAGGTTGAATTTTGTTGTCTCTGTCTCTTCATCTAAACAACGGAAAAACCATTTTTTTACTTTTTATTTTTTGTTTTTTGTTTTTTACTTTTTTATATTTTGGGTTAGACTTGAAAACCTTGGTACATAGGAAACTTCTACTACATATTTTAAAGGTCTGTTTGGCCATGAACAAAAAATGAATGTGGAAATCAAGCACATAAGCCTCGTTTGTTTCGCAACTTAAAGTTAAAAAGTGAATTTACGCAAGAAAAAACAAACACTACCAGAATTTTGTTAGAGAAAATACTATAACAAAAATTTGAGTTGAGATTCAAACTAATAAAACGAATGAGATAAGCTTCTATTGCTTGGTTCTGACTCATTAACTATTTATATTAGGGAAATGCCAAGTGAAGCTCTTTTTTCACCCAACAAAAATTTCTTGCATAATACTTTGTGAAGCTGAGTTTTCTATTTTGACTTTATAGGTCAACATGGGTACCAACATCAAAGCAATTCTGTTGCCTTTCTTCCTGTCCATGCTGTTATTTTCTCTTGTCTCCTCCGCAACCGGTGATAGTTTGCTTAGGATTGGACTGAAGAAGGTAAAAAGGGACCCCAACGACCGGATTGCTGCGCAGCTTGATTTCAAGAAGGGAGAGTCTTTGAGAGATTCTATTAGGAAGTATCGTCCCCGTGGCAGGCTGGGGGACGCACCGGAGACTGATATTGTTGCGTTAAAGAACTACTTGGATGCTCAGTACTATGGTGAGATTGGAATTGGTACACCCCCACAGAAGTTCACTGTCATTTTTGATACCGGCAGCTCTAATCTGTGGGTGCCATCATCAAAGTGCTATTTCTCGGTGAGATGCTGCGTTCTTTTTCGTTTAACGGGGTGCAAATGATTTTAGGCTGTTCAAAGAGCTTGATTCAAGGCAATGGAGTTATAGTCACGCTTTTACATTTTTCGCAGGTTTCTTGTTATTTCCATGCCAAGTATAAGGCTGGCCAATCGAAAACATATAAGAAGAATGGTTCGTCCTTTTCTTCCTATCTGTGATGTTTACTTATTATAGTTGATACAATCACTAGGCTTTGCTCTCTCACGGATTTGTAAACTATCTGATGTGGGTTGTGCCAGCTAACTCAGTCACAACTTATACCATTTGCCGTCTCTTTTGTTATGCAGGCACTGCTGCTGCTATTCAGTATGGAACAGGATCTATTGAAGGTTTCTTTAGCAAAGACAATGTCAAAGTTGGTGACCTAGTTGTGAAGGATCAGGTAACCTTCCACTTTTTATTATTAAACTTTTCATCTATTTTCCATATCATGCTGTATTTGACATATCTATCCTCTCAGGAATTTATTGAAGCAACTAGTGAACCTGGCGTCACATTTTTGGTTGCCAAGTTTGATGGGATATTAGGACTTGGGTTTCAAGAGATTTCAGTGGGAAATGCTGTCCCAGTATGGTAAGAATGTGCATTTTCATCTGATCAGATACTGAACTATTCTTGAATAGCCAGTGTTGGAAATTAGTGAATTTCTTCTTTTAGGTACAACATGGTTGTGCAAGGTCTTGTCAAGGAACCGGTGTTTTCTTTTTGGCTCAATCGTAAGGCAGGTGAAGCCGAAGGGGGTGAACTTGTGTTTGGTGGAGTCGATCCAAAACACTTCAAGGGAAAGCACTTGTATGTTCCTGTAACACGAAAAGGGTATTGGCAGGTAGGTCAAGCTAAATCTGGACTGAGGTTTTTGTATCTTTTTCCCAGTTTGCTTACTTGTTTGACCCTTTTTTTTAGTTTGACATGGGCGATGTTCTTATTGGTGGTAAACCAACTGGTATATCCTCTATCTGACACACAAAACTGTTAACGTAATGTAGTTTATACATCTTTTTTGACTCAAGAATACTGTATTTCAGGATACTGTGATGGCGGTTGTTCAGCTATTGCAGATTCTGGAACTTCTCTGTTGGCCGGTCCATCGGTATGTACTTCAGATTCAATCTGGTAGTTTGCTTTTTGTTTATCTATCTTCTTTGGAGGATACATGTTCTCTCGTGATGTTAGATCTAATTTTCCTTTTCATTTGGTGGCCTGAATATAATTTTTGATCAAATATAACATTATAACCACAGTAAGTGATCAGATAGATTGAAGAATTGACTCCAGTTAAGGAGGCTGGTTGAGAAGCATGTCTAGCAGTATTTTATGTTAGAATGGAGATGCAATTACATATTTGTGAACCTTTGAAATGCCCCCCTCTTTTCATTTCCCCTTCCTATCCCTCATCTCATCTCTTTGGCTAGGCATATGAATGCGGCGTTATGTTTATGGTAATTGATAGCTGTCAGCGGTTTCATCGCTTTCTTGCATATGTTGTTTGCATGAGCTGATAGCTAAGCACGTTTTTACTAAGTATTTTAAGTTGCTAATCCTAAAACTCACCTAGACTCTCTTTTATTTGTTTGAAAGTTTCACCATATAACTTGGAAACAAAGGGGCCCTAACTTATGACACACCTATGTATTCAGAAAGCCTCAAATTGACGTATTAGCTTGACCTTCTTATTTTCTATAAGCTTAGTCTTCATTTTAATGCTGTTTCTCTCTCTCCTCACTTGCAGACTGTGATTGCCATGATAAATAGTGCCATCGGAGCCTCTGGAGTTGTTAGCAAGGAGTGCAAATCTGTAGTTCAACAGTACGGACAAAACATTCTAGATTTGCTTATGGCACAGGTAATGACAGCTTTATTTTATGTGAGAAATCCAGTTGTCAGATGTCTCTGAAATATTCATTGGATAACGTTAATTTGTTCAAGTGGCTTCATGGTGCTGGTTAGACAAATAATATATTTTTATGGTCCTATGAACGTCTGCGACTGATTTCTGTTTTCTCTACTGTCTTGACAGGTCCATCCTAAGAAGGTCTGCTCCCAAATTGGATTGTGCACCTTTGATGGTACTCGAGTTGTTAGGTTGGTGTTGAATGATATTTTGGTGTTGAGAATGTTGTTATTCATATGTTTGTTGTTTGCTTGTTATTACCATTTTACCTCAGGTTATTCCTTTTTAATAATTTTCCCTTGCTATTGTCATTTAAATTTGGCGTGGTTCAAAAGATGTAGCATCTATGGCTATTCTCTCTCTATCCTGACTAGAGGTTGGCTTCTTGGTCCATGTCTATAGCATTGGCATTGAAAGTGTGGTGGACAAAAACAATGGAAAATCTGGCGTCCTTCATGATGCCATGTGCTCTGCATGTGAGATGACCGTTGTATGGATGCAAAACCAGCTAACACAGAACCAGACACGAGAGCATATATTGGACTATGTCAATGAGGTGAAGTAGATGTATAATTCTCGCTTTTGTATTCATTACGGATTTGCTTCTGTTGCTGACTCCACATTTTGCTTTACAATCTCAGCTTTGTGACCGAGTGCCAAACCCAATGGGAGAATCATCTGTCGACTGTGGACGCCTTTCATTGATGCCCAAAGTTGCCTTCACCATTGGTGGTAAAATCTTTGAACTGTCCCCACAGGAGGTATGATGGCATTTCCAATTGTCCTTAGCAAGTGAAATTTCCTGAAGAAACTTTGACAAAAGTTCAACTGGTTGCATATATGATTATCCCTTTAGTTAAGACTGCGAAAAATGCGTGTGATGCAATGCAATTAGTACATATGTGGCAGTATAAATAAAATTGTGACATAGCATAGCAGGACACAGTTCTTATCGACACACACTTATTTGATATGCTGTACCACTCTTCACCATCTTGAGAATGAGTATCTAGTTTTTTGATGAAGAATAAGTGTATATAGTTGTATTCTGTGTGATGTTACCATTGCGCATGACAACTTTTTGCCTTGATGGTGTGATCAGTACATCCTTAAGGTGGGTGAGGGCCCTCAAGCCCAGTGCATCAGCGGTTTCACTGGTTTGGATGTTCCTCCTCCTCGCGGACCTCTCTGGTACTGTCATCTTATTCCTTATAGAAAAAAGAATCCTCTGAAATTTGCTTGTTTGTTTATCCATGTGTTATTCTGTTTGAACGGTGGAATTTTGGATACAATTTTCTCCTTTTTGAAACTTAATACATATTCTATGCAGGATTTTGGGAGATGTCTTTATGGGTAGGTACCACACTGTCTTTGATTACGGGAAATTGAGAGTTGGATTTGCAGAGGCAGCATAATGAAGCTGGCTTAGAACCTTTCTCCTAAATATTTAATGTTTATTTACTAGCTTTTTGTGTACCTTTGAGAACATGATGAAGGTGACAGTGGAATATTTTAGTTGTTTGTCGTCTGTTTGAAACTTGTGCTTGTAAATATTCACTTTCGTCCTTTTCTATCAAATATAAAAATCGGAGGTGGAAAAAATACCTTGAGCAATGCAAATATATATTTCTCTTTAATTTACTTGCCTTTTTCTCTCTGTCCCTTTCTCCTTCAATTACCAGGCAAATAAGGTACAAAAAGGCCTATCAACTTCATAATGGCTTTACCATTGTTCCTCAGAAACCTGAACGTAAAAGATTGCTTATTCCAGTTAGATTTTAGTGGCGTGCAAATAATTGCTAAGCATTGTTCTTCTATCCACATCTGGAGAAAAAGAATTCACAATTGTTACTCTTTCTGTCAATCTCTGTATTCACTGTTTGATACATGAACTGTCACTCTTTCTGTTAATCTCTATATTCACTGTTTAGTACATGAATTCCTTGTTCTTCTATCCACATTTAGAGAAAAAGAATCTACAACCATCACTCTTTCTGTCAATCTCTGTATTCACTGCTTGATACATGAACCGTTACTCTTTCTATTAATCTCTATATTTACAGTTTGATACATGAACTTCACTAATATAATATTTCACTGTTTGATACATGAACTCCATTAATATGATATATTATTATTATTATTATTACATTCATTATTTGACACGTGCACTTTATTAATATAGTATATTATTATTTAAATAGAAAATGATATAATAGAGTTCACGTGTTTGATACAGAGAGTGACACTAAACACATAAAGTGACACTTAACATTTTTCTTAGCCCACGCCAACATTTTTCTTAGCCTTAATTGACTGATGTCTTGTGTAGTGTTTTGGACAGAGAAGCTAGCTAAAAATTAACAATCTTGTACGTATAGGTTTGACATGGACTACTATCTATGACCTCCGGGTTAATAGTTTGTTTTCACTTTTGTAAACAAAACGAATGATATGCATAACATCTTAATAAACTACTAACAAACTAAAATGTTTATATTTTTGTAATGAAATCTTTGTTTCAACTGCCCGGTTAGTGCTGGCGTATATAAGAGACTGCCCAATTAGTATTGAGTGGATCATGGACGTTCTTAATTTTCAGCAGACACTAATACGACAATGGTACGAGGCCTAATCATTGAGAAGAGGCAAGGTTTAACTTTCACGAGGGTTATTCTTGATGCTAAAGATCACATGATAAATATTTGCCGTCTTTCTTAATCTTTTATTCTACCAAGTGTCCGAAGAAAGAAATCGTAGGCCCTGAGAGACCCAGCCTTTTCTTTCAAAAAAAGTCATATCGCTTGTCTTAAAGCCGGTCCATATTCATGGACACATCACAATAGCTCCGAAAAAATTCTATCAACCCACAACCACAAATTTTCAAATACAGGATTCCCACTTCAATAATAGAAGAGAATAACAGTGCGGAGGAGAAAAAATTTTAAGGATAAATTTTAGACATTGCTTTAACTTAGTCAAACACGGCCTAGTATTATTATCGAGCAATCGTGACAAATACAATCTCAAAATTGATTGAAGATACATAGGAAGGCTCGTCTTGCTACGCAATGGCATCAAATTACGTCATTATTTTTGAAAAGAAGATTTGATGGGAAATGAGAATCTAGGTAGCAAAATGCGAGAAGAAAAGAGGGTGAGAATTGAGAAACAAAAGGCGTTACAAGGTGAAGAGTCATAAGATACCAAACAAGGCAAATTCTGTTTGGGACAAGGAAAGAGCCAAGAGGTGGTCTGACGAAAAAGCTTTGCCGAAAGCTGACGATACAAGTGGCAAGCTTACACACCAAATGCGTAGGTGAGAAAGGCAGGGCAAATACAAGGCAAAGGAAGGGAAGGTATGGCATATTATAATATTCATTATCATCATCATTATTATTATTATTGTGGTTGGCATACCAACAAAGCGATCGCTTAAAAGGAACGCAGTGAATATGCATTCACTTCCCACAAAGCGCGCACGCAAAGTTCCTCCACATCCACATAGCAGCCGTCCAACAAAAATATATGTGTATATATATATATATATATATCATAAGCTAACTGTCGCCAGTGTAACTAACTAAGTACTTAGGTGGACATTGTACATTATCTTGTAACGAACTATACGAGACCGTTTGTTTGGTTCCACAAATGAGATAGATGAGAGAGGAATGTGAGTAGTTTTCCTTTTGGTCGCTTTCGACAAAATTGCCAAATTGCATTTTTCAATTGTCACGTTCTCACACCTCGGGAGATACTTTACCCCTTTTTGGTGGTTTGCTTACTAAAAGCCTCCGGCTTTCTATTCCCTTAAATCCCTACTTTCATTCACTGCCCTTTGCTTCTCGTTGTTGTAAAACTTCATCACCAAGGTTCAATTATTCAATCCAATTTAGCCTTTTGAAACAAGAAAAAAAGAAAGTGAATTATTTTTGTTCCTTAATGCGCTGATGAGGATTTGTGAGCGAAATGTGTTCAATTATGTGTCTTCCGGAGTTTTGTCATTTCTTCCAAAGTTGGGGCTTTTATCCAATTGCAACCCACCAAGCATAAAATAAAATTTTGCTTAATTAGAGCTACAATCAAAAAATTATCCAAACTGCGGCGCTAGGGCATTGGTTTGTAATTTTATCCAATCCAACGTTCATAAAAAGTATTAAATAGTTTAATTTAAAGTCAATCCAACCTGTTAAATTTACTTTAATTAAAGCTTAAAAACAAAGGAATATACCATTCGGATTACCCAATTCATTGTATCTAACTTAACTAAGCACCTAAAATTATCATGTCATCACATCTAAGCACGGTTAATTAAGGCTTAACTCATTACTCCACCACAATCTCCATGCCACTTCTCACGTGACCACGTGCCGCCACATGGGCAAGAAAGAATAATTTATTTGAGTAAACTAGCAAAGCCAATCCAAAGCCACGTAATAACCGCCGGCCAAAAGGTTGTCACTCCCACCCTCCTTCCGCCACGTGGAGTCTTCATATGAAAGAAAGAGGCCAGTGTAATCTTATAAATTATTGGTCCTTAAACTCTTTAACATGTGACAATTAAGTCTCTAATTTTTTAATTTTAGTAAAACGGTCCTTAAAATTTTAAAATGTTGGTAATTGAAACTTTTCTGTCCAAATTCATTAAATTTCTTACAGAAAGTTACATGTGACCATCAGGTGACTCTTTTTTCAATTAAAGGACAAAAATACCCTCAAAAGCTAACACCAAAAGAGAAAAATAAAATAAAATAACAAAAAAAGAAGACAATGAAGAAGACAAAGACATAGGAGAATATATAGAATAAGTAAGTAAAAGGAAATCATTGGATGTCTGAATTTATTGAAAGTGTTGTACTGTGAATGACGAACTAAAAGCAGAGGTTGGAATGTTTATGGGTAATTTAAAACCGGGTGTTATACTAAAAAAAGGAAATTATGGGTGTCTCAATATGTCGTTTGTTTGAGTTGATTGTTTTGAACTTGAATTTCACTTTTGGTTTACAACTGGAAATTTCTTTGTCGTTTGTTGGGGACTAGGTTGGTCTAATATAAATAATTCTTCTTCTTCTTCTCAATTTGTTGTTCCATTATCAGAAATTGTTCCATTACTACTTATCCATTGTCTCAAAAGCTCTGTTATGATAAAGGAAATATCTGCAAGCCTTGTTTGATTCAAATTTTATCACCACCGCCAAGTGCCAACCCTACAACCTTTACCACCATCACTGTCCGTCTCTCCCCCATCATCGTCACCGTCAAGGGTAGATACTCCTGACGACCCCTGAGGCCACACCCCTTGCGACCGCCCCCCGTCACGTAAGGCATATCTCCATTGCTATAGCCATTCTCTGCGAGCTCAAAACTCTACCGACCGGATCTCGTTAGCCACTAGAAGAAGAGCCGCTCAGATCTCGTTGTTTTTCCCTCCCCGTCACTACGATATTGAAGCACCCTCCTCCTCCATCGCAAAATCTAGGCCCCTTCCCTCTGTCATTGCGAGATTGCAGTTACCCCTTCCTACCGTCGTAAGATCGACGCCGCATCCTTCCGCCCATGGCTGTGCTTGTCCTTCCCTCCCCAACTTTCTCTCTCTCCCTCCCTCTAATTTCAAGTTTCTTTTAATTAAGGTTTTTTTTAGATCGGGTCTGCAACTTTTTTTATTTAAATTGTAATCTAATATTATTTTGCCAATATGCCCTTCTAAATTGGAATACATGTTGTGTACGTGATCGTTTTCGTTAGAAACTTAATAAAAATAGACGGTAAGGGTTTAATTGTCAATGTTTTCAGAGTTTATGGACCTTTTTACTAAAATTTTAAAAAAGAGAGACTAAAGTGTTATTTACTAAGGAGTTTAAGTACCAATAGTGTCAATTACTCAATATAATAAAGTTCCAAAGACGGCGACCGAAAATTTAATCCATAACACACCCAAAAAGTGAACAAAAATACTTTTTATCAATGAAATAATAATAATAAACTAAACTACCAAAAAAATAATAATAAACTAATAGTGATGCTCATTCTAAAAAAAAAAAAAAGACAAATCGATTTCTTTTTCCTTAAGCCAAAGCCAAACTAACCGAAAACATTTCACGTATATATATGACCATATTCCAAAACCTCAAAACATCCAAGTTTTTACCAACTTTCAAGCTAATTTCAGCTCTCTGTTCTAATGGACTGGACGAGGGGTCGAACCATCGGCCGTGGCTCCTCCGCCGCGGTCTCCGTCGCGACCGCTCGTGGCTCCGGCGAGATATTCGCCGTCAAGTCAATACAGCTTTCGAGATCAGAGACTCTCCAGAGAGAGCAGAAGATTCTGTCTTCATTGAATTGTCCCCACATCATCGGATACAGAGGGTTCGGCGTCTCGTCGGAGAACGGCGAGCTTCTGTACAACCTCTTCATGGAATTCGCCCCCGGCGGGTCCCTCTCAGATCAAATTCGCCGGAGCGGCGGGTCCCTCAACGACGCCGTAATAAGATCCTGCACAAAGGAGATTCTTCTAGGGCTCGAGTACCTCCACTCCGTCGGAATCGCTCATTGCGACGTGAAAGCCCGGAATGTTCTGGTCACCGGCGAGGGATTGAAGATCGCCGACCTCGGCTGCGCCAAGCTGGCGGGTGACGTGGCAATAGGTGGGACCCCCGTCTACATGGCTCCGGAGGTGGCGCGTGGGGAACAGCAGGGCTTCGCCGCCGATGTCTGGGCGCTGGGCTGCACGGTGATAGAGATGGCAACGGGTCGGGCTCCGTGGGCCGGTTGTGATGTGAACCCGGTTTCGGCCCTTTTTAAGATTGGGTTTTCCGGTGATGGGCCGGAGATACCTAGCTTCGTGTCGAAGCAAGGGAGGGATTTCTTGGGGAAGTGCTTGAAGAGGGACCCATCGGAGAGGTGGTCGGCAAGTGAGCTTCTGAAACACCCTTTTCTAGAAAGTTCCAGAGACTTTGTCGCGAAGGAAGTTGGATTTGGTTCTTCGGGTTTGGATAGTCCGAGGAGTGTGTTGGATAGTGGTTTCTTGGACTCGATGGAACATGGGAAGTCGGGTCATGAAAGTTCAAGTCCAACGAACTCTCCGGCTGAGCGGATCCGTCGCTTGAGTGGGGATAGTACGACGTCGTCCCCTTTGGGATTCGGTGATTGGGCCTCAGATGAAGATTGGGTCACAGTGAGAGACCATTGGGCCCCGGAAGAACAACATGGGCTGACTTGTGGGCTTGAGAAAACAAACATGACGTTAATAGACACGTATTGGACTTGTTGTGGTGATGATTCGAGATTGGCCACCAAATGGAACAAAAATTGCAAGGATAGTCGTAGCAATACAAATAGTAGTGGTGGAATTAGTAGTAAGAATGATAGCGTTAGAGATTGGAAAAGAGGCCCTTTGATGCCTTCTAAATTGTGTACTAAAGATGTACTTTGTGATTACCTAGATTTTGGAAACAAGGATTTACTATTTTTACCAAGATTTTGGAAACAAGTATTTACTATTTTTCATGCATGATTGGTTTCTTATTTTTGACCTTGAGCTAGACTGATTACTAAGACATAAGCAGGCACAAAATACCTTTTTTTTTTTTTTTGGCTAAAACTCAAACACAAATTGGAAAAAATTAGAAAACAGAATCCCTTTTAGTGCCACCAATAAAAAAGTTATAAGTTAAATATATAGTCTAAACAAAATTAGGAGACGTTTGGTTCATGGATTAGAACCATGTGATTAGAATCATTTTCGATTTACTTGTATTTTTTATGAGAGAAAATACTGTAGCGAACCACGAACCATGATTCAAATCAGGGAACGAATTCCCCAACCAAACAACCTCTTAGGTTTGATCGCCCACAGTATTAGGATCCATTTGGAAACGGTTTTCAAATTGCAAGTTAAATTTACTCGTTTATTTTCTTAAAATTTTAATAATTAAGTCCTTGAAAGTGGCTGCCAAAAGAAAAGGCAGAAGTAACATATGTTAATACACGATACAATGTACCACATTGTAGGACCTGAATGATCTTATTTATTTCTTTAGTTGGGCACTTATAATAAAGGTCGAGTAGTACATTAATATGGGTTGATAAGTTTACCTTTGGCTGTGTAATCCCCCCAAAACAAGTTTACTTGTGACTAACTTAGGACCCGTTTAGTTCACTCATTCGAGTTTTTAATTTGAGTTAAGACGTGACTTTATGTGAACTTTTTACTGTAGCAAAAAAGTTAGATATGACTGTTTCTGAGAACTTTTTACTGTAACAAAACTCGAATCGGTGAAATGAACGGGGCCAACTAATACCTAATATTTTATGTAAAAGCCATAGCCTTATCCTTCTTTGATCTTCCATTCCCCAATCGCTGGCACAACTTTTAGCCATAATATGGGTTGATAAGTTTACCTTTGGCTGTGTAATCCCCCCAAAACAAGTTTACTTTTGACTGACTTAGGACCCGTTTAGTTCACTCATTCGAGTTTTTAATTTGAGTTAAGACGTGACTTTATGTGAGCTTTTACTGTAGCAAAAAAGTTAGATGTGACTGTTTTTGAGAACTTTTTACTTAACAAAACTCGAATCGGTGAAATGAACGGGGCCAACTAATACCTAATATTTTATGTAAAAGCCATAGCCTTATCCTTCTTTGATCTTCCATTCCCCAATCGCTGGCACAACTTTTAGCCATAATATGGGTTGATAAGTTTACCTTTGGCTGTGTTATACCCCAAAAATAAGTTTACTTTTGACTGACATAGGACCTGTTTAATTCGCTCATTCGAGTTTTTAATTTGAGTTGAGACGTGACTTTATGTGAGAAAATGTGACTGTTTTTTAGAGCTTTTTATTGTAACAAAACTCGAATCGGTAATGAATGTGACTTTATCTAATACCTAATATTTTATGTAAAAGCCATAGCCTTATCCTTCTTTGATCTTCCATTCTCCAATCGCTAGCACAACTTTTAGCCATAAGTTGAACTTAATACATCATAACCGCACCAAGCGACACAAACCCAATTAGTTCAATTTTTTTTTTTTTTTAAATCCATCTCTTATCTACGTAGAAAACTATTTATGTGATCCATTATATATGTTATTATATATGGAGCGCCTGATTAGTCTAATAAAAAATACACCGTCAGACTAAAGACCTTTCCTATATAGATGAATATGTTGTATATATATTACATTCATGTTCTTAACTCTCCTTTTCTTCAGTAATATTAGACTTGCATTTTAAGCTGAAATTTTGTTGAGACTAGGCTTTTCACCAGTTTCTTTTCTTTTTCTGTTTCTTTTTTTTAAAGATGAGAAAAATAGTTACTTATGTTAAAGTATAAAATTATTATTGGTACACTTTATAACAGCTTAAGGTTTTAGGATGGATTGGTAAACTAATATGATATCAAAGCGGGAGGTCTTGAGTTCAAATTCATGTAATTGCACTCTTTATTCTCATTTAAAATTGTCATGTGTTGAGTTTTTAATATATTTTGGACTTAAATATTAACGTGTTAGTCTTTTTAATTAATTTACCCACACGATTGCCCATTGTTCAGCCTATACGTGAGGGAAAGTGTTAAAATATAAAATTATTATTGACCCACCTCCTAACAGTTTAAGTTTTTAGGATAGATTAGTAAACTAACAACTTGCTCGCTCATGACCGTGAAAGGTCTCTCTTCACTTTTAACTTGGTTCACAGGAATGCTTTGCTTTTCTGTACCGGCAGAATATCACCGGCCGGCGAGAATATATATCTTTCTTTTGTAGCTTTTATTATTATTCATATTATGTTTTATTTTGATTCTGAGTCTTTCTTTGGTTGCTGATTTAACACTCTTCTTTTTTCTTTTTCTTTTTTTTTTCTTTTTTTTTTTTTCCTTTTGGCTATGCATTATTCTATACACTTTGTAATCTTATCAAGATCAACTATGGAACAATAAAAAGTATATGTATATTTTTTCCCCCCCTTTTGGCTATGCATTATTCTATACACGTTGTAATCTTATCAAGATCAACTATGGAACAATAAAAAGTATATGTATATATTTCTATCTAGATATATATATATATATATATATCCACGCGTGCACACATATATATACACTATATTTTTAAATTATCAATATCCACCTCCAAGTATTGAACGCAAATTTGGTGTATCTCGGCCTCTCATAGCAGGAAAGATCGTTTATGAATCGAGAGGACGTAATAGCTAGTTGAGGGCCTCATAATGAAGAAAGAAAAACAAAGGAAAAAAAAAAGAAAATTATAATATACACATTTTATTTTAAAGTTGAGTCCACAGCGGCACAACCACACAATCAGAATTAGGAAAAGCAGAAAGATTGACTACTTTTCTTCGTCATCCCCAATACTTGGATTAAAAGTCTCCTCAAATATTGTCTTCATCTCTTTTAATGTTTTTCGTATATAGTATATACCTTGATTAATGGCTAAAGTACATTTACGAATCAGTCACTTTGGTTGAACCCCTAATCGTTCATTATTCTTGGTGGTTGATGAAACACAAAAAAAAATGTTTCACCACTTAATTTAATATTAATTGTTCTTGAAAAATTGAAGAAAGATTAAAAAAAAAATAATCATTTTTATTTGTTTGATTAGGAACATAATTGTTCAATGATCAAGTCTTTTAAGGGCGTCTTAGAGGATTTTCAAAAATATCATCAATAAAATAATATTATTTTATTTATGTCACTGTTGTTAAATTTATCTTATGTTACTAATAACATGTAGGTTTTCTTTTGATCGCCCTATAAGTTATTTTTTTATGACCTACAGGTTATCTTTCGTAACTTGTAGGTTATTTTCTGTAGTGACATTAAAATTTTGTATAGTGGTATAAATAATAGAATTGAAAAAAATAATGGTAGAACTTAAACATTTTCTCTAGATAATTTTCCATATATGTTTATATAGTGAATTAACAATATTGAGATCTTTATAAAATTACAACGTTATACAACTTATATTTCGTCGACTTTTCAATCGTTCGGTAATAAATCTTAAATTTTTTTTTTATGAATACAATAAATCTTAAACTTGGTCACGTTTATAATCAAACCATTTTCCGATCTCTCTAATTTAATAAAACGGCATTAATTATGAGCAGTGCTGTTTATAGAATAACAAAGCTTTTTCCCTGTAAACCATTTATTAGAGAGAAAATTACTGAATTGCATGTATCTGAATTTTTATCCTTACTTGTAATTAAAATTTTTTTAATTAATGTAGTCATTTGATTAAAAACAATATTATTTAAAAATAAAGAGTAAAAATCTAAATTTATAGACTCTGAAGGATATTTGTCTTTATTATTAACTTTTCAATTCATAATTCAATATGGGTGTTATCATGGTGAGGTGACCAAAATTTTGTTATGCTGACTAGATCAGTTTAGAAAAACATAAATTCTCTTATATATACACGTACCACAAAGCATGAAATGAAGTGAAACGCAGATCATCTTCCGCTCCAAGATCAGCCACTGATAAATTATCATCAGTATCCTAGAAGTATACTGATAATTATGGGAGACGTAGAAAATAAACCAACACTTGAGGAGGTCACAATCCATGTTTCCATCACTAATTCCACCCAATTAGTCAACCATGCAGTAGCACTGTCTGTTGATCATGAGAAAACCAAAACACTGCAATCACATTCTTCCATCTTAACCACAATCCATGCAGGCTATTTCAGAATAACCATCTCTCTCGCTGCCCAGGCTCTTCTATGGAAGATCTTGAGACTCTCTACCGATGACTCTAAAGCTGACATCCAGCGGATGTTCCGAACGCTTCCTTCGATGGCCTTTCTTCTGCTCTGGTGCCTCGCGATTTTGACACTGGTTTCGCTGTCGTTTCTCTACGTCCTCAAATGTTTCTTTCACTTTGACATGGTGCGAGCCGAGCTCTTGCATCACATAGGAGCCAACTATTTGTACGCTCCTTGGATTTCATGGCTTCTTCTTCTACAATCAGCGCCGGTGATCGTTCCGAAAACCATTTTGTACCAAGTTCTGTGGTGGGTTTTCACTGTCCCGATCTTGGTTCTCGACTTGAAAATCTACGGACAGTGGTTCACCACCGAGAAAAGGTTCTTATCAATGGTGGCAAATCCTACTAGCCAGATTTCTGTGATAGGGAACTTGGCGGGTGCCTTGGCGGCAGCAGAGATGGGCTGGAAAGAGAGCGCGATTTTCATGTTCTCGCTTGGAATGGCACACTATTTTGTGCTGTTTGTAACTCTTTATCAGCGGTTAGCCGGTGGAAGCAGGTTTCCTGCTATGATGAGACCAGCCTTCTTCCTGTTCTCAGCTGCACCAAGCTTGGCAAGTTTGGCTTGGACCTCCATATCCGGAGCCTTCGACACCGTCTCCAAGATGCTCTTCTTTCTCTCTTTATTTCTCTTCACGTCCCTGGTAAAGTCGCGCTCAAGCCTTGTGTCCTTATTCATATACACGTATTTTCGACAAATTTTCAGCAGATTCCGTCAAACATTCATAATTTATTATCTCACAAATAATTGTTTGCCGTAAAACAGGCTTGCAGGCCAGCCCTTTTCAAGAAATCGATGAGGAGGTTCACTGTTGTGTGGTGGGCATACTCATTCCCACTGACCCTTGTTGCTCTGGCGTCTTCCGAATACGCAAAGAAGGAAAAAGGAGGCATAGCTTCTGTGTTGATGCTGGTGTTGTCAATTCTTTCGATACTGGTCTTTCTTGGGTTGATGACGCTCACTGCCATTAATAACAATAATCTTTTGCGAAAAACTTCGGATTTTTACTAAGATCCTTGAGAACAGGAGACATGGAATAAGGCCCGGTTCAGATTCAGAGAAGTTTGTATCAACGTATGCTGATGATGACTGATGAATTATTCCTATTTAATCCATACCTGAACATCAAAACTGTTATTAACTCCCACAACTTCCCTGAATATTTACTTCATATAAATATGTTGTTCTTAAACGATAAACCATGCTACTGAGCAAACGTTTGTATTGAACATTTGAACTCCCTCAACTTCCCTTCTTTGTTAAACAACATATTCTGGTGTCAAAAAATAAAATTAAACGGAAATTTTTAAAGTTCTATAGATGATAGAGAGACCATGAGAGCTGAACAGAAACGTCTATATATTAGTAAGTCCGACACTAAAAATTGTAACTAAAAAAAAAAAAAAACTATATGATCGTCAGGACAGACATTTGGAATTAGATCATACTATTTTTCTGGCTTCCCTGTCCATAGTTGGTCAAATTTTACATACTATACGAAAACATATAGATAAATAAAACATAACAGAGCAATCAATCAAAGTTTTGTATATACTACAACTCATCCATTCTACTTCAGTTCCAGCTCTTCGATAAATTAAAACACAAAACTTAAAATCCTATTTATTTTTCTTTTCTGCTGCTTGTATTTTCTCCACACTTGCAATGATGCTATAGATGAAAACTGAACTCTAACTAACAAATCCATCATTGAACTCGCAACAAATCCTACAAAATACTTTTCAAAAAATTGAAATAAAATGAAATTTTTAAGAGGTCAATGATTCCTTAGGAATTTTTCTTGCTATTCGAACGCGACAATCCTCGATCCAATATTTGCAACTGGTTCCGCAGATTTTGGTTTTCCTCCAGTAGACGATCATACTCGAGGAGGAATCCTTCTGATTGTTTCTGCAAAGCAACTGCATTAGCTTCTGCAGCATGTATGTCCTTTGTTTTTGTCTCAAGCTCTGATTCTAGCTGCTTCAGTGTTGTCCGCAGTGTGGCCATCTCTTCTTCTTTGGCTTTGATTTCATCAGAACCGCCTGTCTTGCCATCCTCAAATGCTTGGTTCTGTTTCTTAACAGCCTCCAAAGTCTTCCTTCGTATACGAAGTTCTCTAATATAGTGGTGTAATCTATCTATCATGAGGACAAGAAATAGGGATGATCCTGCAAGTATTTGCCCCGAATTTAGATCATATTACACTGTTCAACAGTTAACAAGAAATTCATTAAGCAAACATGTCAACCGAAGTGAAACAGTACGAGAACATTAAGAAATATGGGAGGACCGTAAAGCAACATCAATTCCAGCCACCTTATACTTGGTTAGCATAACCCAAAAGGCTTCCTTAGAGATTATCAGATAATTATACTAAAAAATATATAAAGTGAAAATCTCGAAGTAAATAAAGCATTGTAATAGGTACATTCAAATAGAAGCAGTAACAATCCAAACATATTGGAACAGATCGAAACAAATCAAACAGAAAAGAAACTCCAATTCTAAAGAATGAGAATCACCTGATTGTCCATGTCTACCTTAGATTTCCCTAAACCTAAATTTCTATGAAAAATGAGTTACAGAGATCAAGACACGGAGATAAGAATGGCTTAAGTAATGCTTTAAGCTAACTGTCTAGAGCTCAAAATCTCAGCACTTCCTTTTCTATTTCTTAAAAAAAAACACAGAAAATGCATCGTAACTATCCAACATAAAACAAAACTTAAACCTGCTTTTATAGGCAACAAACAATGTCAAATATGAACAAGAAATATGGCCTCCTCTCAATTCAGTGACTAAAAGAGAAACACATCAAACAGCGCTACCCTGGGAAATCAGGATCAGAAGTTAAAGAGATAATGATATAACATAATGATTCATGTAAAAATATGAAGCCTTCAATTTTCCTTGCGTACAAAAATTCTAAATCCTAAAATTTAACAAAATCTATACTTATTTTTCTTGCCCTGAAATCCAGCTTTCTAGTAATTAGCACATACCCTGATTACTGGATCGACATTCAATAAGGCACATAAAAAGAAGCTTTAACAATCCATTTCATTAATTTCATTATCCATTGAAAGATATGGTGCATCAAGCAGCAACTTTCTATCTATGTGATCTGTGATAGAATAATGGAACTAACTCTGTGTTCCCCTATTTATGTCCCTTTCAATGTCCCTCCAATAATATTGTGACACGTCAATTAAACTGTCACATTAATTAAAAAATTCTTATTACGTCAATTAAAAAGTCATGACGTGACATGTTATTATTGAGAAATATGGAATGGGACATGAAAAAGGGGCATATGAACCGGTTCCATAAAATAATACGGAAAGTCAATTCTAAAATCCCTAGAAGCAATCACCATAGAAATAATAAATGCAAATCACCATCAGATCACGAATTCTTACAATGCTCAAAAAAAAAAAAAAAAAAAGGTTTTCGGGGAACAAATCAACCAGATCCAGAAAACTAAAGATAACTTCTTTTACAAGTTACCCTAATGGACGAAACACTGATCCTCACAAAATAAAATGCACAAAAATATCATCTTTCAAAATTTCGCAAAATTAATAAAACAGTAATGTTGTTGACGAAATAAAAAAGGAACAAAAAATATCATCTTTATTATCCTCAATTCCTCTCATCCTAATCAAGCACATTTTAATCGGAATCGCCAACACCAAATATAAAATTCACAAACCAGAACACACAAATGTATATAAATTAACATCAGAAAAAGAAAAAGAAAACAAACGAAAAATACCTAGAATGGAAAATGAAAAAATCAACCGAAAAGCTGTTCAAATTGGGTGGCAAAATTTACCCATGAGAGTGGCCTCGAGAAGGTGTTTGGCCATGATGACCTGATCGGTGGGATTGGAGGCGCCGTCGTCGATCCAGCGCTTCTGGATCTTAACCATGCTGTAGACGCTCGACGCGAGCAACACTGCGGCAGTCGCCGACACCGTCTTCACCACGACCGGTCCACGGCCGCGCTTCACCCGATCCAACGCCATGATCACAAGCTTCCGCAGCGGCGTCTTGAACGACATCAGGATTATCACCGCCATCTCCGACAAAACCACCATGAACAGAAGCTGAATCATCCTCTCTCAACACAGAACGAGGAAAGGCAAGAGCTTGGATGGATTTTGAGTTTGAGGAACGGAAGTTGTGTAAGGTTGCAGAGTTTTGTCGTAGGCTGGGGCGTAGAGAATCGGAGAAGAACCGGAGGATGTTTCGGAGCTCAAGAAAGAATCGATGGATCGATAATGGAAGTTATTGAGGAGGGAGAGGGAGACTTTTAATAATATTGATGTGGTATCTGCTTCAAAAGTTTTTGTCGTTTAAAGTCCTTCAATTGTTTCTCCTTTCTCTTTCTTTCTTTCTTTTCTCTTTTTTTCCCCTTATTTTTGGTTTGGAAGTCATTTTATAGTTTATGTTTATAATTTTTAAATAATTATTTATTCTATTTTTAAAAACGACGTTTGGTTCATTGATTAAAATTATTTTTAATTTATGTGTATTTTTTATGAGAGAAAATACTGTAACGAACTATGAATCATGATTCGAATCGGGGTATGAATCCTCCAACCAAACAACCTCTTAAAAGTTGAAAGAAGAGATTTTTTTTTTTCACACTAGACATCTAAAATTAGAATGGTGAAAATTTGCTAATAAAATTATTCTTGTATTCTTAATATTTAAGAAATGTAATAGCCAATAGGATGTCCTCAATAAAAGTCCCTTTAACTTTCTTTTTTATACAATTAAAGTATGTTTGGTACACCGTATGAACACTTTGTATTATATTATTTAATAATAATATAATGTTTGATAATATTTAAAATTAATACAATACGAAGTGTGATATCTAATACAGAAAAAAATTTATATACTAGACCGTATTATGCAATTTAACTTAAAATACTATATTAAAAATATATAAAATATTTCACAAATATCAAGGCTCAGGGTTGGGTTTTAGGACCGACGTTGCGGTCGAGTTTCAGAACCAGAATGATGTTGAGTTTATATTTTTTTTTAAATTACATTTAAACCTTAAACTTTTTAAAAACTATATTTTAACCCCTAAACTTTTAAAAATTATGTTTTGACCCTTCAATTTTTTCAAAATTATATTTTAATCCCTCAACTTTTTCAAAATTATATTTTCCCCAAAATTACAATTTGACCCACTTTTCAATTTTTTTTTTATAAAAGACCCTAGCATCTACTTTCTCTCTTGCGTCGAGATTAAAGTTGAATTAAGTTATGATTATGTCTAAATTTTATCTTATTACAAATTAATACGTAAATAGATTACAATAGTATAATATTTAATAATACCACTAATCAAATACCGTGTTATATAAAAATTTTATAATGTAATACAATACTATACAATACTATACAATATAATACAATACAATATAGTGCACTAAATATGCCCTATACTTCTGCACAATATCAATTGCATTTGCACTCACTTTGGTATGTAAAATTTTGTAAAAACGTTTTTTTTTTACTCGAGTAAATTTAGTAAGCAACAAATAAAATTTTGTAATCAACAATATTATTATATTTGAGTCAAATCCTTCTGTTCTCAATATTTGAGAAATCCAATATCTTCAAACTCGATGTGCTAACTAGTCAGTCAAATCCAAAATGCAATAATGATTCAAATGGGAAAACTTTCAATTGAAACTTATTTTTAGCACAATTTGAAAATGCATGAAACAAATATACTCCTCCTTTTTCTTTTTTTTTTTGTTTTGTTTTGTTTTCCTAAATAATATTATAATTAATTGACTATGTATGAAAATGGAACCAACTATATATAATATGCCATTCCCACTATACCATAATGAACTATAATATATTTTTTTTTTAACTCACCAAAAAGAAGAGTTGCAGACATGTTGAGATAAAAACCACAAGGTTGGTCTGAAATTAGGATGTTAAACTGTAAGAATAGTCCCACTGAACCCCTCAAAACTTTAATTAAACAAAATGCTTAAGGTAGTATATTGGTGGGAAAGAAAATTTTGCTATAAAAACAGATGATGAGATTATCAGTCGTTGGTTGGAGACGTTTGGTTCATGAATTAGAATAATGAGATTATAATTATTTTTTATTTACGTGTATTTTTATAAGAAAAAATACTGTAACGAACCACGAATTATGATTCGAATCGGAATACGAATCTCCTAACTAAACAACTCATAAATATGTATTAGTACTACTAACTATCGAAAGTTAGAAAAGCAACGCCCCTTTTAAAAAAGTTAGAAAGCAACACCACTCAAAAAAAAAAAAAAAAAAAAAGGAGTTGGAAAGCAACAGCTCTTTAATTGGTATTACCTCCAACTGCCCATCACGTCTACTTGGTTTAGTCTGCCACAGTGAAATGATTTCGAGCTCATGCTCATTGTATTCATCATTACGCCACACAACTATATACTTGCTATGTAAAAACAAAATGTCCCTTTTATTTCATTAAAAAAAATGTCCCTCTTACTTGGTTAATATATATAATTGGCCTAATCCATGGTTTGTTCGTCATCCATCCCAATTTTTTTAATTTGAGACCCGAAAGTTTTATTATTTTTTTTAAAGACTATTTTAAATATAAACGGAGCGTATTTGGGGTGCTCTTATCCCGTCTCATCACATAAACTAATTAACACAACTCGTGACAACCAAGTTGTATATAATGTAAGTCTAAGTCCTCTAATGCGTGTTTTTTTTATCTATTTAGTTCGCTGATTCGAGTTGATATGTGACTTTATGTGAGAGTTTTTTACTGCAATAAAAAAATTATATGTAATTATTTCTGATAACTTTTTACTGTAATAAAACTCAAATCGGTTAAATGAATATGACCTTTATTTACTCGTATTATCGCTCTTTATGAGTGCACATTACCCTCTCTAGTAGGAATGGCCATTTTTTTTCCTTGCAGTTCATGACATGGTGAGACTAGCATAGTTGCACAATAATGGAGCAACAAAAAATATTGATCAGTTAAAATTTGGTCATTTTAGCATCAATTTATTGACCTTCTACTTCAGAGAGCGATAGCTTAATCACCTTAAATTACTCACCAGAAACAGTGACAATAATTTATGCATTAATATCCTCTCTGGCTATTTTTTAAAATCTTTGAGTGTTTGCTTAGAGAATCAACAACCAAACTGTTAGCTTTTTTTCACCAACTTTTCATCATAATTGGTAGATATGGTCACCTATTACCCGGAAAGTCTTTTTTTTTTTTTTTTTTTAAAGGATACAACTTTTTTCGGAAAAGGTTTTGGTAACAACTAGATTAAAATCGAAAATTACTAAGGAGATAGAGTTCTTTCTGAGATTGTATTATTTTATAAATGTTCCGGCCCTGACAAGCTATATCAACCTTATAATATGCTTCTCACTTGGAAAAACTACTATACTAACAGATATCACCAGTTTTTTTTTTTTTTTTTTTTCCTGATACTGATGACAAAAATTGTCAAAAATATAATCTTCAACATGAAATGGTATTAATTAATGTAAATGTTAATCCTATGCATTTAGAGTTGGTCCCTGATTTGATGACAATTAGTTAGGTTAACCATCCAGTTACTTCTATATATATATATATATATATATATATATCCATCTTCTTTTCTCTTTCGAGTTTTTTTTTTTTTTTTTTTTTAAGAATTACTGTTCTTCTTTCTTTTCTTTGATTTACATATATTTATTAATTTAGTTGGTAGTTAATTAATTAACCAGTTATCCATCATGATCAATGACTATTGCAAGACGTACAGCTTGAATGCAATTGGGGAATATTGTTAGTAGCTAGTGGAGTATACATTATTATATGTAAATAAGGCGTTGTGAGAGAGATTGATATATGTACATAAGTATACATTTACATACATACATACACATAATCTATATATTATTTATCATATTTTTGTCTAAATTTGTGGAAAATAAGTAGGGTTGGTGGTGGTAGCATGGAATTTTCATCCACATGAACTCCCTGTTGCAATAATGGCCCCGTTCATTTCGCCGATTCGAGTTTTGTTACAGTAAAAAGTTCTCAGAAATAGTCACATCTAACTTTTTTGCTACAGTAAAAAGTCTTCACACAAAATTACATCTCAACTTAAATTATAAACTCGAATCAGCGAAGTGAACGGGCCTCATTGATTTCCGAATACATATGGGTCAAATTACTGGTACTATTTGACTACTTCAGCTTTTTATATATTATATTTTTTTAATGCTTAATTTAACAATATATTAGCTATTGTAAATGAGCAACTGGTATCGAAATTTGGTCCTGTGTTCCAAAGCATTTAGCAGTTAAAAGTAATTCACAAAAATTATCAAAAATTATTGTGGGTTCTTTCTGTTTTTGTTTTCCCTTTTTGATAAATTAAATGGAATTTCGTTGCATGGCATAATTTACGCCAAAACAAACTAACTAGGGTCTTTCAAGTTTGTTATTTTCTTTTTTGGAAGTTTGGACAATGACAACAACTCTTTACGTTAAAGAGCAAAAACAATATTGCAAATGGGGGCAACTGTAAAGATTCTGGGCCTCTCGTTTTGAGCAACCAAAAAAAAAACAAAAAACTCTGGGTCTTTCATTTTCCACGTTTTTGGTTACTTTCTAACTTAATTTCGTTTTTTCGTAGCATACTATAGGGTGATATAAAATTCAACTTATTATTCATGTCCTTATATTTTGTTATGCATTAGTTATTAATTGTGACTATTGTTATATAATATATATATATATATATATATATATATTTTGTTTCTCTTAAGCCAATGTCTTCCAAGAATCATACATAAAAAAGAAGAAGAAGAACACAAGGAATTACTTAGTTCGGATTTCTAGGAAATCCAACATCCAAGGGCAGACGCTGGAAAACCTCTAGTCCAATGCACTATAAATTCACAGTTCTCACTTTTGATGAATCACTCAGTTACAAGTTTCAATATCCCAAGTTTACCTAGAAATTCTCACTGTTTCTCTCTCTAGCACTCACCGAGAAATACAAATTATGTTCTAGAAAGAGAAAGCACAAAATAAGAAATGAAAGACTTATTAACTAACTTTCTGCGGTTTCTATTTATACTACGTATAAAATAGAACACCTTATATTAACCCGAGTTAGGAAATTAACCACAATTGATTAACTGAGATAATTAAGTTTATCTCAACAACTAATTAGGCTGCAGTCTCATTAGTTATAACAAGTTTAATCTGTTAATAACCAACTCATGAATCAGAGTCACATTATTAATATATATATATATATATATAGACACACACAAAGTGATAAGCCAGTTTGCTGAATGTTGACTAGTTACTAACCAGTGTGGACAAATTCATAATAAGAAAAGGGCTTTTTTAATATAGAAGCAGAGTCCATACACAACCGATCGAATTCCTTAAGTTGTCAACTCGGGCTTTCGCTTGGTGGGTGTATACTGCATTTGGAAAACTCATTTTCATTTTCGGAGAGAAAGAAAAATAGAGCGTATAAAGGGGAATGAAAAGTAATGACAGAATTTAGAGAACAATTAATAAATAGTAGTTTTATGTAAATCCAGATTTAGTACTACTCTGCTAAACTATTAAAATTAGTGGCCGAAACTTGGAAGAAAGTTTAAAAAAAAAAGGGTGGAGAAAGAGGAAAACTAATAAGAAAGAAACCAAAATTAAGAAGGGTAAAAATTTAAATAACACACATGAAAACTTCACAAATGCCATTCAATACCAGTACATATGCTATTTACTCCCAAAAATATTTGAAAGTAAGTAATTTCCTGTAATTTATGTTTTTCTTTTTAGTACTACTCTGCTAAACTATTAAAATTAGTGGCCGAAACTTGGAAGAAAGTTTAAAAAAAAAAGGGTGGAGAAAGAGGAAAACTAATAAGAAAGAAACCAAAATTAAGAAGGGTAAAAATTTAAATAACACACATGAAAACTTCACAAATGCCATTCAATACCAGTACATATGCTATTTACTCCCAAAAATATTTGAAAGTAAGTAATTTCCTGTAATTTATGTTTTTCTTTTTCTAAGAGAAAATTAGGGAATCATTCCTTTAGCCCGTCTTTCAAAGAAATGAAGATACAAATCATTTTTCAAGCAAACTATATAATAACAATAATAAAGTTATAACCAATCTAAAATTTATTATATGTTCATAACTTCTTCCAAATATATTATATGTTTTTTTGTTATGACTTGAGTAAGACAATTATAAACAGCTTTCAACGCTTGTCTCTTTTCTTTAGCTCCCCTCGTTCACATTTTGATAGCTGTAATGCAGAGCTTACACGTGATCTATAAATACACGAAATTATAAATAAATAAACCATTAGTAAAAAACTACATATATGAGAAGCATGTACATTTCACTTCATCAATATACTATATTGTAATAATTAAGTATAAATACACTCATTGCGCTTTATTTTTGACCATTTATGAGTTTCAATTTATGGGGTTCAACAGAATTAATGAAAACGAAAATTTCCTCATGTAACTCGTCTTATAACTTCAGTTGCTTGATTAACTAGCACAAACATCTCATCATGGAATCAAAGAATAAAATGGAATCCAGAATAAGATTCAAAACAAGGCTAAGGAATATGAAAAAAATGAACAAATTGATTATGATGTTGTTAGCTTATAGGTACACTTTTATGTACAAATTGTATCAGCTCAACTACATGTGATCATAATTGAAATCTCATGATCAGAAAGGTCAAAAAAAAAAAAAAATCATAAGATCACAAATCAGAAAAGCTTGCTTGCGAACTCTTCTTCGATCTCACGATCATGATGATCCACACCATTGAATCTTCTTGATCTTGAATTCCTAGAGTTATCAGCAAGATTTCTCAGCTCTGACAAGCTCCTTCCCAACTGCAAAGCCACTTTGGTTTCAAACACTTCGCCATTCTCTCTCCTCTCAAAATCTCTCTCGTTCAGATTCGACTCTATTGTCTCTTCCACGAGCCTAAAGAAACCGGCATTACTTCGATACATCTCAAACACCATCCCAACTTGCCCGCCATGTTCGAAACTGTTCACGACGCTGGCCAGAGCCCCGCCGACGACTCCGGCGACAAGAGGCACCGTTCCATGATGAGAAAATGCGGTTCCTAGAGCAGCCAAACCGGTTAAAACTGGTCCAGAAATGGCCAAAACTTTGTTCAAATTCAATGCCTTTTTGCTCAGCCTCAAGTAGTCTTCAAGGTCTTTCCTTTCTATCACCCCACAAATCTCTCTCATTTCCTCTTCCAACTTCTCACTCCAACCATTAGTACTGCTAGTCATAGTTTTTTTCACTACTCGTTTTTGGTGAACTTTTCTCGGCCACCAAACGGCAGGCTCAACTTTCTTGGGGAACTTCTCGAGCATTGCGCCTAATAGGGGAAGAGGGTAGGCCTTGTCCAGGGCTAGAACTCTCTCCATCGCTTCGTTTACGTCCGAAGAGGTCACGTTTCCGAGGGAAAGTTTAGTTTCGATTTCTCTGAGAAGCTGCTTGAAGAGTCTAGAGGCATTTCTTTGCTCTTCCGCGAGCTGTGAGGGTTGGATTTTGTTCATCACAGCCAGTAGTCCGGTGGCTGCCAAGTAGAGGATAGTAGCGCCGAGCTTGAGCGCTTCCGCGGATGATCCAGACACCGCGGTGGCGGCTGCTGAGATTCCGGTCATTGTGGCGGCGGTGAGAGTGATTGAATTGACAGATGTCAGGAGGAGAGTGTTCCAATTGTCGCGCTGAGCTCCGATGTTGTTGTGCATCTCAACTCTGTCCGCGACAGCCTCCATGATCGCGTACATCTTCTCGATAATCGCCTTTTCGTTAGAAAGATTTGGACTAATTGTACGTCTTGTGTAGGAACGATCTATAATTTGTTCCGCACGACTCGTAATGTTCTCCAAGTTGTCCGCAAAACTTTTAGATGGGAGCTTCGGGAGAGCAACCGGAGTTTTCGGTATGTTAATGGTGGCTCTGATGTTGGATCTTCTCGAATCATGGATTTGAGACGTGCCCTTCACAGAAAACACGGTTGAAGAAAGAAGGGTTGCCATAATATTTGCTCAAACAATATTCTAGGACAAGTGATTTTTGTGTGAGGTTTGATTGATTTGAAGGTTTACGAGGATGTTGATGTTGTTGTGTTTTCTTGTTTGTGATTTTTCAAGATGAGAGTGAGAAGTGAATTGGGATGGAGAAGAAGTAGAGATGGGTATTTATACAAGAAATTAATAACAAGATAATGAAAAAGTCAATGAAAATGTTCTCAAGCTTTGAAAGTTTGAATGAGCTCAAATCCTACGGCTAAGACTGCTTCTCATCTTGGATTCTGTCAGTTTATTTCTGGTCGAAGCCCGCTATTTGGCTGCTTGGGGCAGTTGGGACTTGAAAATTGAAATCTGGTTTATTTGACTTTGAAACTGCCTTAACGGGGAATTCTTCAACATAGAACAAATTATATATTAGTTCAACAATATATTAGCTATTGTAAATGAGCAACTGGTATCGAAATTTGGTCCTGTGTTCCAAAGCATTTAGCAGTTAAAAGTAACTAATTCACCAAATTATCGAAAATTATTGTGGGTTCTTTCTGTTTTTGTTTTCCCTTTTTTAAAATTAAATGGAATTTCGATGCATGCAGTGGTGGAACTTTGGGCCGGCGGGTAGACCCATATGCCGGCCCAACCAAAGTGGAAATTCGGGCTCAAGCAGCCCGAATTTCGGCACCTCGCTGGAGCCAGCCGCCATGTAGGCGCCGTCAACCGCCGTCCGCCGGAGTTTTGTTTTGAATTTTTCCGGCGAAGCCCGATTTGCCCAACCCGCCCCGACTGCCCGAAAATCACGAAAACAGTAAAAATTCTGACCGTTGGTGCCCGACCCAATTTTTGCCAGAAAACCCGAATGCCCGACATGCCTGAGCTGCCCAAAAACCCATCCAAAGGCTAGTTTTTTGCCCGAACCTGAACCCGCCGAACCCTACACTAGCCGTTGCACCCCGAATTTTTTGAAAAAAAAAAAATCAATTTTTTAACCCAAAAATTTCTCTATAAATACCCATATCCCCCACACATTTTTCTCACTCAAACTCTCTCAATCCCTCTCAATTTCTCTCAATCTCTCTCAATTTCTCTAAATCTCTCTCAATCTCTCAAATCTTTATCACAATTTTTCTAAAAACTATCACATTGTCCTAAAGCTCTCTATCTCAAATCGCACTTATTTTTTTATAATGGATCCTTTTGGTTATAGTGGTATTCCCGTTGATGCCCACACAACGTGGAAGAAGGACAATTTCCCACTAATAAATTTGTTACGTAGGAATCTACTAATCTGAGCCCTGCTGGACGTACTGGAGGTCGTGGTCGTAATGGTGGTGGGCGTGGAGAAGCGGCGACGGCGAGTGCCAGTGCGACTGCGTCTGCAAGTGTTGCAACCTCTAGGAGGAAATGCAAGCTCACCTCGACAGTTTGGGATCACTTCGACATAATTGAGGAGATCGACAATGAAGGTAACACTAAACATATAGCTCAGTGTAAATATTGTTTATCCAAATTACAAGGTAACACTGTACACGGCACCACACACTTGAGAAGACACTCTGAAAAGTGTCTTCAAAAGCTTAGCCAATCCGGCGGACCCGAACTCCGCCAAACACAATTATCTTTTGATCGCGCAACTTGTGGTCTAACCAATTGGAAATACGATCCGCAAGTAGAACGTATGGACGTTGCACAAATGATAGCTGCTTTAGATCAACCACTTAGTTTTGTAGAGCATCCTAATTGGTAACGATATATTAAGGTTGTACATAATCCTAATGCACAGTCCACTTCAAAAACTACTCTTAGAAAAGATTTATTAAAATTATTTTAAAAAAAAGAAGCATTAATAAACCTTTTACACTCGACTAGCGGGTGCGTTGCGTTAACGGAAGATATTTGGTCTGCTGTTGCCAATAAAGATTTTTTAGCTGTAATGGACATTACTTTAAAGGATTTAATTTAGATAAGAGAATATTATGTTTTAAATGTGTTCTAGGATCACATAGTGCGGATTTAATATATAATACCATTTTAAATGTAATTGATGAATTTAAATTAATATATTAAGTAATGGCTATAACATTAGATAATTCTAGTGCCAATACAAAAGCAATCAAGTTCTTTGAAAATAATTTAAGTTTATTCGGTGACGGTACTATTTTCCACCAACGTTGTGCATGACACGTAATTAATTTAGTTGAAAAATCCGGTTTAAAAGAAATGGGTAATCACATTAAAAGAATTAGAGATAGTCTTACATGGATTCAAGGTAGTAACTAAAGACAAGAAGATTGGTTTAGGTTCTTACAAGCATTAAATATTCCTCCCAGAGCATTAGTGTTAGATATGCCTATAAGATGAAACTCAACTTACATAATGCTTCAACAATGCATCCCCTATAAGGATGATATAACAAACTATATGTGTGTAAAAGTAGGAGTAAGACATATAGACGCATGTGATTGGCAAATTGCTAAAGTTTTGTATCCATTTTTAGGCAGGTTTCATAAAGTGACTCTAAAACTTAATGGAACATATTACCCAACATCACCTTTAGCTTTAGGAGAACTTTTACATATTAGTATTTTATTTAGCGAATATAGGGAGGACTCAATCTTAGCAGTTCCTATCCATTCTATGGAAGAGAAATTTATAAAATATTGGTCTAAGTTGCCTTTGTTGTATGGTTAGGTTCTATTTTTTATCCTAGATTAAAATTAGAAGATTTAGAAAGTGGTTTAGAAAACTCAGGTGAATTTTTAGGCATCAATTGTAAGGACCAATATCCAATAATAAAGGAAAAAATATATTCGATCTATAGTAAATATGAGATTAGGTTTAGAGTACCTCCTAGAGTACAGGAACCGCAACAATAAGACGAAAACCCGCATTCATTTTTGAATGTTTTCGGGTTGAAGAAGAAGATAAAGACAACTCAAACAGAAGCTGGGAGTAAATCTTCGTCAACAAGTGGCAGTGGCAGCAGCGGCGGCATCTTCAACGAGCTTATGGCGTACCTCATTGCATACTTAGTAGTCGACGGTACGGCATAATCGTTTGACTTAGTTCAATGGTGGAGGGCACGGGCATTAACTTGGCCAATCCTAACTCGATTGACAATGGATAGATTTTTTATCTCAGTCTCCACTATCTCATCTGAACAAGCATTCAGTACTACAACAAGAATACTTGAGGAACGCTAGAATGCATTGCAAAGGGATATTGTTGAAGCCTTGGTTTGCATTAAGGATTGAGATCGGGCCGATCAACGTCTACAGGATATAATTTCACCGGCAAGCCAAGAATGGATCAATGAATTTAATCGATTAACACTTAATTTTGAAGACGATCCTTAAGCTTCAAATTAAATTGTAAATTTGTAATTTGTAAATATATATTTACTGTTGACATTGTATTTGTAATTGTATAACTTTGTAAGTTTGTAAAATTTGTAATTCGTCACAGAATGATTGCACTCTTTTTTCCTTGCCAAGTTTTTATCCCAATTGGGTCTTTCTTGATAAGGTTTTTAACGAGTCAATCATGAATTATGAATTTAATATACATCATTAATATACATGATTCATTTATTCAATTGTATTAATAATGTCTGTTGAATGTTGATTTTGATTTTTATATAATATTAACATAAACTAATTTAATAATTATAAAAATTAAAAAATATTAAAAAAAATTTCAGGCTATTCGGGCAGGCTCGGGCGGCCCGGCCGGGTTAGGGCAACCAAATATAAGCCCGCGGCCCGTTCAAGTGTATTCTCGGGCTCAAGCGGGCGGCCCGAATTTTTCAGGAGGGTCGGGCTCAGGATCGGGCAAAAACTCAGTATTTTCGGGCGGCCCATCTAAAGTTCCAGCACTAGTTGCATGACATAATTACACCAAAACAAACTAACTAGGGTCTTTCAAGTTTGTTATTTTCTTTTTTGGAAGTTTGGACAATGACAACAACTCTTTACGTTAAAGAGCGAAAACAATATTGCAATGGGGACAACTGCAAAGATTATGGGCGTTTCATTGTGAGCAACCAAAAAAAAAAAATTATGGGCCTTTCATTTTCCACGTTTTAGGTTATTTTCTAACTTAATTTCATTTTTTCGTAGCATACTATAGGGTGATATAAAATTCAACTTATTGTTCATGTCCTTATATTTTGTTATGCATTAGTTATTAATTATATATATATATATATATATATATATATTTTTTGTTGTGGTTGTTCCTAAGCCACACTACAACAAAACGGGTTATTAGCGACGACATATCGTCGTTAAAAAGAAAACAAAATTTTTGAACGACTTGTCCTCACATTCACTATTTGCGACGACATGTTGTTGCACAAAATTTCAGTATTAGCGACGATATGTCGTCACTAAAATTTGACATATTATTCATGACGACATGTCATCGCTAATATCTGTTGGCCCCAAAACCAATCTAGCGCCAATGATATTGGTGCAAGTTTGTCCATTATTTGCGACGACATGTCGTCGCAAATATTGATTGTTACAGCTGGCGGTGACGTGGCCAGAAAGAGTCAAAAAATTTGACATTTACCAACTAATAGGTTCCAGATATTTCTTTATTTTTTACGACCACATATTGAAAAGTCGTTGCAAAAAATAGTTTCACAAAATTCTTTTCAGATCAACTGTTTTTGCGACGACAATTGTCGTCACAAAAAAGGGTTCTAGAAAATTCTACCAAGGACGACCATTTTTTGCGATGACTTGTTTAATAATGTCATTGCAAATAATTGAGAATTTAAATTTCTTAAAAAAAATGGCGGAAACTTTGGCGGTTTCTTTAAAATTATTTGCGACGACATTTTAATAAAGTCGTCGCAAAAAAAGAGCACGAGTATATTTCTCAAGAATATTCTCAGAAATATTAATGTGGTGAAGAAGAACGATGTCGTTTTTATATTAATTGCGACAACTATTTAATATTTTTTGCGACGACATAATGTCATCGTAAAAAGCCACCTGTATAACCGCGATCGCAGAACTCTTTTCTCCACTTTTTCTAATGACCCTATTAGTTTTCTCTCTCCTTCTCCGTCCAAAACCTCTAAAAAC